GTATTTCCTCGTACTGATATGATGTATATTTACAGATAAAATTAAACGAAATTCGAATCGGTCAAGTAATTTTTGGAGTCGAACAGTAACTATATAATAACTGAACTCTAAACGAGAAAATTTATAAGTTTGTATAAATTTTTTCGTTTACATAGTATAAGTAATTTCATTGCTAATTAATGTAATTAATGAGCACTCTGTTATAGTCGTTATTACCTCTAACTAATGTCTAAATTTGTTAATATTTATAATAACGTTTTTGTAGCAAAATATTAAAATTTCTAATTTAGCTGATTGCACAAAGAATAAGTCCGGTAACGGTTTCTGTGTTGATTATCGCTTGCCTCCTCCTTGTTAATGTGTTTTTATTTAATTTATTCTGCTTTCGGAATGAGTGGTACAATAAAAAAATACTATTCAAGTGCTTATATTAAGTTTATTTGAATGAAGATAGTTTGTATTCTATTGTTATATGTTGTTAGTAGGATTACGAAGTGGCAACCCTGGCTAGAGTCGCGGTAAATATTTGCGCAAGTTATAATTGGATCTGTTCGAAGGGGATCACTGAAGATGCTTGCTTTGCACAGTTTTTAATTTCCAAATTATTTTTACGGCCGACTGTGCAGTGTGTGCACAGCTCAGATAACAGATCTGCGCCAAATTGTTTCGTCAAACATTGATACACAATTATGATAAGTTAAGATTTTACGCGACTATGAAAATAGAGTTGAATTTTTATTTTAAACTAGCTTTTGGTCGCGGCTTCGCTAGCGTTAATTTATCCTCTTAGAGGTGGAATTTGTCAAAATCCTTTCTTAGGGGATGCCTACGTCATAGTAGCTTTATGCATGCAAAGTCTCAATCCGATCGGTTTAAAATTTACAAAGTTTCATACAAACTTTCATCCCTTATTTGATCCCTTTGGGGGTAGAATTAATCAAAATCCTTTCTTAGCGCCTGGCTACGTCATAACATCTACCTGCATGCCAAATTTTAGCCCGATCCGTCCAGTGGTTTGGGCTGTGCGTTTATAGATCACTATGTCAGTTACCTTTGAGTTATATATGTTTAGATATAGTCATTTTATAATAATCAGTTTGTCTATAGTCGTATTATATTTCATATATATAGTCGTATTTTAATAATATCCCTTGATAATTCACACAACTTCGTTTAGGCCTGAGCTAAGTAGAGCTTGTGTTATGAGTACAAAACAAGCTCTGCTTACCTAGAGCCAACTGATAGGTGTATTTAGATTATTTTTTTCCTGAATGCATGCATGTACATTAATACATGCATAGTATACATAGAAAACACCCAGACCAATACTCATGAATACAAATGTTTGTACCGTGCAGGAAATCAACCCGAGACCATCGGAAATAAAGCGGTGTGCTAAACCGCTGAGACTTTCAATTGGTTGATATGATTTTTTATATTTATTTTATTTTTATTACTTTCACCTTTTTCAAATTCGCTTACTTAATATATATTTGACTTATGGTTGACTGGGAGACATTGTCTTAAGGTATTGCTCCTCCATATGCATATTAATTTTTGTATTTGTACATTTTAATGTACAAATACAAAAATTAATATGCATCTTTGCAATTTATTTCTTTAAGCTAAAGCTTTTAATTATTATTGTTTAATATTTTTATCATGGATAAACTGTAAATTTGTAGATCGTAGATCATGTTCAAATTTACTCTTTAAAATTTTTTGTCTTATTTGTATCAGGAATAAACTGAAAATTCGTAGATGGTGGTAGATCATGTTTTTTCCTATACTACTATTTGATAAGTGTACTCAGAGTGACAGACTCTAACACTCGCAACCTACCCCAAAACCAAGTGGAGATTAACTTTTTAAAACAATAAAAAAAAACAGCTACGTTTTCACACGAGAGAATAATTTTAATCTCTGTATACTTGAAACAAAATTGGTTCTCAACTCGCCGCGAGTAAATCCAAATGGAACACAAACATTGTGTTTGTGTTGGCAGTCCGAAAACAACTCAAAGTCAACAACATAATCACTCTTGTGTTATGATAGCTATGAAAAAACCGTGGCTTTTCGTGTACAAGGTGTATGCCAGGAAGCTTCTGTTCTTTGACAGATCTAATGTCAATATCGATTTCAAACCAATTTTATATTCCCTTCTGATCGATCCCCCGTCCACTTCAAACGGGGATCAAAATTATGACGGCCTGTGCTGAGGTTCGAACCCCTAGCGGTGCCCTCAGACTAAAGTCGCATCCGTCAGGCGGGAGTTGGCCTTCAACTGCTTCATAAGTCCTTCCTTTGGTTTGGAGTGCCATCTGCATTCGTCCCCTATCGATCGGTGAAGCTGTAAAGGCCAGCTGCGGCCAACTGCATTACAGTAGTCAGAAAAAAACTTTTATCTTATTTATTTATTCATTTAATTCGGATATCCATATTATGTTAGTAACCAACTTATAAACTACATATGTTAGTAAATTACAATTTATATTCATTCAATTTGGGTATCTATATAGATCCACGGCTAGAAATACTGGGTCCGCAGCAGTACAGTGTCTCTAGAGACAATCCGAGATATTTGCTATGGTCTTTAGGAGGCTGTTTGGAGTATTTTATCTACTGTTCTTTCTGTTAAATGGTAAACAAGCTGGCGGTCTATCAGATGATAAGCGGTAATCCTATATACATGAACAGCATTACGGTCATCACGTTATCATGAGACTTCTGTGAGTGTATCACATAATGCGTTGCAATTTCAGAGGATAAGACTAAGTAGTCATGTTTCTTACCCTGTAATTTAGAATAGAATAGAATAGAATAACATTTATTACATCACACATCACAACATAATAAAAACGATGCTGACAGCTGCATATAAATTATTATATAAGATAAACGTAAATAATATACAAATAATAATAATAATAAAACAATACTAAATAATAATAATAAAGTAAAATGCATTTCCTATCAACCACTGCGGAGCATCGCCACCGCGTCACTGTGTACTGATGTGTGTGTAAGGGGCCCATCTCAGCATTATGCCATGACAAAAGCCACGACGCTGATTTTCAGTGGAACTGAAGTGGAACTGGACTGGACTGGAGTGAATTTCACTGCCTAATTTGTACCCTACAACCGAATAGCAGTTAATTAAGTAAAACTGCTTTGTGGCTGTAATAGATGAGACTGAGGTACGATCCAGACGACTTTGTGATCTAATTCTGGCCGATTAAAGTTACTTTTTATTAAACAAAATTTAGGGTCCTGCTCCTCAACATACCCTCGAAACCGCAGCTGATTTGTAGTAGACTTTATAATACAACTATCTTAACCATTTTATAAGTTTTCGGCGAGAGATAATCATTGACGAAATGAAGCTCCGTGATTAATTGTTTGAAAAAGTAACTTTAGTAATAAACAATAAAATATTGACAAACTAGTTGCACTAGTAACTAAACTGACAATGAATTATCATATACTGCCACAAATTAATGAATTAATATATATAATGTTTTAAAATATATATTCTCAATCAGATTAGAAATCTATTACGAGTGAAGTCATAAGCAAAACTTAGTAGTTAAACACTAAAATATTGGTAAACTAGTTGCACTAATAACTAAACTGACAATGAATTATCATATACTGCCACAAATTATTAATATTATATATATGTATATATATATACTATTAATAATTTGTGTAATATATTAATTCCTTAATTTGTGGCAGGTATATATACATATAATGTTTTAAAATATATATTCTCAATCAGATTAGACACCTATTACGAGTGAAGTCATAAGCAAAACTTAGTTGTACGCGCATTGTTAATCTGCAATTTTGATCTCCACGATATGGAAATTGAATTAGAGGATTTTAGCCGTGTATCTAATTGGGTTACTGTTGTTTTATAATTAGATTTATGTACTCAATATACCAATATTTGTGTTGGCTCGAGTGCAAATTGATTAATCCTTTGATGGCTACGTTTGCCCCTCGTATATAATTATTATATTAATACGTGAAGCAAGAACTTTGTACCCCTTTGTATTTTTTTATGATAAATACCATGTGATACATCCTTAAAAATATTAATAATTCTATTTGTGAGGTGAACTTATTACAATATTTCTATTGCAATCTATGCAAATAAATAAAATTGGAGTGTCTGTTTGTAATATTGAAATAACCGTTTTTTACTACATGCATATGAATATAAATACGGTACAGACACTCACATATTTTTTTTACAATTTTTGTCTGTTTGTTCCGGCTAATCTCTTAAATGGAGGACCAACTTTGACAGGACCTTTTTTGGCAGGTACTTGATGTAATAAGTAACTTAGACTACTTTTATTTTAGAAAAATAAAGTTATGTTCCACGCGGACGAAGCCGCGAGAACAGCGACTCAAGTACAGTAGTAAACTTAATGTAAACTTAAATATATATAAAGTGAGTAAAGATGGACATCATATTCCTAAAAGAGATCACTACCAGTCAACTTAACAGTGAGACATAGATAGAAGTGAATGAGTAACACATTCAAGAATTAAAAGAATTAAAATTCAAGAAATTAAATAATGTTCTAATTATACCATTATAATAAAATACATCAATAAATAAAATAAACATATATAAAGGATATATATATGTACATAAATATATACTATATTTCTTCATATAAGGATCTTTCATTTTGTGGGGGATAATATATGTATGGATATATATATTTATATGTCGGTTCTTTATATCTGTGCAGAAAGCTATTGCATCTACTCGATAACTATATAAATCGATGCAAAAAAGTGTGATTTAAAATCGTATATTTTTGTATGGCAAAATTAACAACACAATTTTATACATTCTTTTTAAAGGTAAAAAAGTGGCTTTTAAGTGGCCAGCAATAAACTATGAAATCTACAACACAATTTAAGTAAGGATTTAAAGAAATTTCGTTTTAGCAATGTCAGTATTGGATATGTTGTTGCAGTTACATCTGTATGAGCGGTTGTATATCCCGTGCAGAGAAAGCCGGTGAAGCGAGGGTGTACATGCAAACGGTGCTGACCATCTGTGCAGACCTCTGCCAACCCTGCTCACTTGACGTCGTAAGTATATACAAATTTAAAATAAAATAAAATCAAAATATCTTTATTCACGTAAGTCTATGACTCTTATGATATGTCAAATCTACCGTCAGTTCGGAATGATTTCGAGATGAGAACTGACAAGAAACTCAGCTTGTATTCTTTTCAAATTTGGTTATACATGTTTACAATAATACAGATTCAATTTGAAAAATGTTGGGAAATAGTAAAAAATTTTGTATTAATGAACTTTGAAGAAACTTTGTCTGTTGTTGCGGGTGAATAATAAGATGTTGTTGGTCGAGACGATGTATATTACAGATGATGATAAACTGACAATATGTACACAGAAATAATGATCTTATATACTAAATAACAATAGGAAAATGTAAGGTGGGGTGACACAGTTTAGACACAGCAGTGCTTAGTAGACAAGATTGAATTTGTCTTACTAGACATTATTAAATGCAATTATTATTTTGATGTATCTAGGTGACTGTGTCCCATAGATATTCCCCCCTTGAGAGAAAAAAAAATATATTGTGACATTTCCACTGAAATAGTACGTCCTTGCTTGCCGCCAGAGTTCAGAAAAACTATTTTCGAAAGTTACCACAATCTTAGTCATCCTGGTAAAAAAACTACAAGAAAATTAATTGGCAATAATTATGTGTCCCATATCTGTCATGATCCTCGTTTCGGGTCGTATCTGGCTTAATTTTTCTGGCAATTCAGCGCTGAAATGCTGCAAGCGTTATGGGAATCATTGGTCCGGTTACGAGACGGGAGAGATTGTCTTGTTAGTCTACATTTGAAAACTTGTAAGAATGTCAAATGTCTTTTTTTTTTTAAAAGCCAGTTATTAACTTATTTCGTTGTCTATGTATATCATTAAGTGAAAATCCCTTGTATGAACAACATTTCTGTCATTACAATTATAATTCTCCAATCTTGTTACTGTGTCTTGTGACTGTTCTTGAGTCTACATCCATATTGCTACACGTGTTTCGGTCGGAATTTGATCGTCATTAAAGAAAGTCGTAACAGTAGTGAAGTTTCCGTACTGAGTACATATTTGTGGTCTCACACATGCTAATTTTAGCGGAATTAAACAACTTAAGGTTAGTCGACATCACAGAAGACCGAAGAGCTGGCAGCTACCTTGGACAAAGAATTAGTCTAGCTATTCAAAGAGGGAACGCTGCCAGTATCTTCGGAACTTTGCCTAAAGGGACCCCTTTTAATAATATATTTTAGTCATCATATTATATTTTTTTTTAAGATCTTTAATTTTAGGTTCTTAGTTGTACAATTAGGTTATGTAAATACTAGTAATAAATTTAAATTAATATATTATAATAATATATAATATTGAAATTGGAGAAAATATATGAACAACATAATATATTTACTTTTAGTAGTGAAATGGACTTTCGGAAGATAACTCCTAATTTAATTAAATATATTTTAATAAATTGTCAAAATTTCGTGTTTTAATACGAACATTGGAAAGTGGTAACATTTGAAGGTCAATTCCTTAATTTTTTAATTTTTACGCGAATTTTTGCGTCACATGGTATACAAAGTCATTTGCTAATTGGACCACCAAGGTCGTTAAAAATGACTCCTAACTGATAAAAATGCTCCCAGGGAACAGAACGGGCTTCAGCCATCCAATCCCTCCGTTGCGCACTGGGCACCAGCGTGTGCGGCTCCCGTGCAGAGTTCTGCGGGCTGTTCGCCAAGGGTGCTGAGTTGCAGCACAGTGGTGGCTTCGTGAGGGCAGCACGGACCACGCACCTGCTGCGGTCATTGGCCGAGCTGGACCACCAGATTGTGCAGGTGGGTAGCTTTTATTAAGCGATGGTGCATCTGTCTTTGCTAACGGTTGACTCTGGCGAGGTGCTAGTGGAGGATGATAAGATAAACATGATCAGCAGGTCTGTTGGTCCATTAGGGCAAATTAACCAGGAATTTATCATGATGGTTTCTAGGAGGAATCGCGTGAAGATCGACCTGACATGGTACATTGGTAACAATCCCCTTTACCCGTTGGCCGCAGCTAGCCTTTACAGCTTCACCGGACGATAGGGCGCGAGTGCAGATGGCGCTCTAAACCAAAGGAAAAACTTATTGAGCGGCAGAAAGCCAACTCTCGCCTGACGGATACGACTTTAGTCTGAGGACACCGCTAGCTGTTCGAACCTCGGCTCAAGCTATCGTAATTTCGATCCCCCTTTGAATTGGACGGGAGAATATCTCAAGAGTAAATATTATATGTATCTCCCTTCGGTCCGAAAAAAACAATAGCCAACAATGTATTCAGCGCGCATCTCGTTAGACTGCGATGTTTGCTCTGGGCTCCTTAATTAACTGTAGTATCATTACAGTTTGTTTGTTGGCTGTAAACAGAGACTGCGGTGCGTGGTGGCCAAACCCTCCGCTCGATGTAGGAAATGTTTGGACGAGCCAACATTTTTTTTGCATCTGTATAAATGCAATCTATACTAAAATTATGAAGAGGTAAAGTTTGTATGTTTGTTTGTTCGGGGTAATCGCCGGTTTGCATAATCTGATTTTAAAAATTCTTAGAAATGTATATCATCCTCGAGTGCAACAGGCTATATAACATCACGCTGCGGCCAATAGGAGCGGAGCAGCAATGAGAAATTTGCGAAGGTGCATTTTGAGTGCTTGCGCTGCGTAGACGGTTAAACTTACGCAGAAAATATGTCTGACAGAACTGTTCTCCTTTAAAAGTCGTAAAAAGATGTCAGCGACAATATATGTTTATTTTTAAATTTAACTTCTTATGATCTTCTTTATGGTAATCATTTTTGTAAACCTTTGCAAATAGTTCATTATTTGCGAAAGTGTTTTTATAAACATGAATCCAAATAAATACGGAAAACAAGTATAGGGCCCGTGCGAAGCCGCGGCGAGTTGCTAGTAAATAAGTAAAATTGAAGTTACTATTTGTAATTTCAAATTAACATGCACTTTACTTAACTTAACATGCATAAGACGACTAAAAAAATTTTTAAATTTATGTATGTCTATCTGTTAGTTCTCCCTAATATATGAAACCGTTAAACCGATTTTGATGGAACTTTCACTCGCAGATAGCTAATGTTATAAGGAATAACTTAGCCTACTTTAATTTTAGAAATTTCATTTATTCTGAAGCTTGAAGGTGAAGCGGACTTTTGTTTATGAATTTCAATACCATATCTGTTCCTAACATCTTCCATACTAAACTTTTTGCTTTAGACAATACTCTAGAGAGAAGGCGTGCAATTGTATGTTTGTTTGTCTGTCCCCGTCGGTCATGTGATTGGCTGTGCCGCAGTCATGCGCGGTAATTCAACAACGTTGAAAGAACGACTGTACTCGGATATAAGGTTACATGCGTTGAAATGTATGAAAAATACATTAGTATTGTTTACCGAGTTTATAAGGAACAGTCTGCATAGAGTATCTTAGTCTCACATTTAGCAATCCTCACTCGTAATCTATACATATAAATAAAATTGGAGTGTCTGTTCTGTAATATAGAAATAACTGTTTTTTACAACTTTATTTTTCTAAAATAAAAGTAGCCTAAGTTACTCCTTATTACATCAGCTACCTGACAATAAAAGTCCCGTCTAAATAGGTCCAGCCATTTCAGAGATTAGCCGGAACAAACATATAGACAAAAATTACAAATACTGTTATTTTGGTTTATGTATCGTATTTATATTCATATGCATGTAGTAAAAAATGGTTATTTCAATATTACAAACAGACACTCTTATTTACAGACCATTTTATTTATATGTATAGACTATAGATATATAAGTACATTTATTAACATTTATCATTGTATTCAAAATAACAATAGAAATTAGGGAGCAGGGTTGATGTTGTTGTCATATTGTCACAGCGTACACGAGTATGACCGGTCACTCGGCGTCTAGCCAACCAATAAAACTGCGATGACGTGCCACGTGACCTAACAATACTCAAATAGTACAATCCACAGGATACCGTAAATAATATTGTCACTTGAACTCGAGTAATGGTCTTTCAAAAGTACTCTATATAAAAAAAATTGAAGTTTCTGTAATTTCAAATTATTACCTTTGTACTAAATGCATATAATAATAATAATCTCAGGGGGGACATGGTACATGCCAGTAATGTGGACTCATGACCCCATTATTGCTAGTACCCATTACTAGTCATGAGTCCACTGACATGTACCATGTCAGGTTGACCTCCACGCGGTTCCCCCTAGAAACCATCGTGTTAAATTCCTGGTGAATTAGTCACGATGGGCTAACAGACCTGACCTCATGTTCATCTTATCATCCTCCACTGGTGCCCCTACAATTATCACCCATAAAAAAAAAATCTCAGGACAATTCACACAGCGCCATGTAGATCCAAATTAAGCTAGCTAAAGCTTGTGTGATGGGTACTAGATAACTAATACAAATACATACATATTTTTCTTAAATACATACAGATTATGCATAAAAATACCCAGACTGTTACAAATAATCATACTCATGAATACAAATGTTTGTACCGTGCGGGGAATCGAACGCGAAAGGTCTGCGCAACCGCTAGACCCCAATGGCCGTGGAATTAGTTTGTGAATTAATTGTTAGATATAGAAAGAGAAATAGTCTTCTTTCACTTTTGAATAGTCAAGTTTTTTGATTCTACCGCTTATTCAGAATGCAGATTCATCACAAGGAGAATGAGCAAAAAACTTGTGTGTTGCTCTTTTAAATAAATATAGATTTTATTTACATTAACAAGGATTAGGCATGCGACAATCAACATAGAAACCGCTACGCACTTAATCGCTGTTCAATCAGATAACATCTAGTCAGCGTTATGAATTTTAAGTTAGATATTTTCTACAAAAACATTATTATCATTTATAAATTCTTCAATTTTATAATAAGCTATTTTACAAAAAAATTACTTTATAACACATTTGAATTTTTTTCTGGCAAATTGAGTACAGACTCTGGCAGTTTGTTGTAAAACCTTACGCAATTTCCATAAAACGAATTACTAACTTTCGTCAAACGGCACTTAGGTAAAACTAGTTTGTTGATATTACGTAAGCTTTTGTTATACATTAAACGTGTTTTTATATGCATAATATCTGTGATACAAACAGACGTAAATCGAGACGTGCCAGAGCAACTCTTATATGGATAATACCCATATATTTATATTATTCTTGTTCGACCTATAGTTTAGTAGATACATGAGGGTTTACAATCACACAGGGGTGAAATTGAAGTCCAGTTGGAAACTTATTTGTCATAACAATATATTTGTTAATTGAGCAATTCCGGTGTTTACCGCGGGTTTGATTCTCGTCTGATAATTACGGCTACTGTCTATTTTTCATGCCCCTAAGTGATAAGGATTGTCCATCCCTAACATTTAGTTTTAATTATTTGGACAAAATTTTTGATTTTTTATAATGTGCTATTAGAAAATACATACATAACCCTAAATTTTCACCCTTCAATCACCAACCCCTATTTTTAATAGATTTTAATTTATATGGCAAAGCTTTTGCGGGGTCAACTAGTTGTACTATATTAGATACAGTCTTCAAGTCTATGGTAAATTGATTTCTTCTGGGTAAGCAACATCATATGTCTTGCATTCATTTACCATCAGATGAAGTAAGACCAGCGCAAACCCATTTATATAAAATACTAGCTGTACTCGCGACATCGTCTGAATTTAACTTTAGTTTTTTAAAATAATAGTAGCCTATGTTACTCCTTATTACATCAGGTACCTGCCAAAAACATGTCTTTTTGGTGTATGTACCGTACTTATATTTATATGCATGTAGTATAAAACGGTTGTTTCAATATTACAAACAGACACTCCAATATTATTTATATGTATAGAAGAAATGTTATTTTGGTGTATGTATCTTATTTATATTCATATGCATGTAGTAAAAAACGGTTATTTCAATAATATAAACAGACATGTATACATAAAAAAAAATTCTTCGCAACCTCACCTTTTGAAGTCGGCTAAAATTACAAACTCCCAGAAGATCTGCCACCGCTATTAAGTGCACGTTTATATAGAGAGACTGCCTCACCAAGTAACAGCTTAAGCCCCAACGGAGCCTGAACGGTAATCGATATAGCGCTAATGGATTGCACACAGCACCAGACGGACAGACACGGCGACCGTGGAGTTTTAGAGATCCGCATTAATAGGGGATGGAACCCTCATCCAAAATAATAATAGAAATTATACAATGAAACTCATTATAATCACTTTTGAATAGTCATATTTTGATTCTACCACTTTCGGAACACATCATCATCATCATCACAAGAAGAATGAGCAAGAAACGTGTGTGCTGCTCTTCTGAATAGATGTTTTTTTTATATAAATAATTACACAATAACAAGTAAGAGGCATGCGATAAATAACATAGAAATCGCTAAGCACTCATTCTTTGTGCAATCAGATAATATTGTCAGCGCTATGGATTTTAAGTTTTTATCGTTAACGAATATACGACCTACTTATTAATTTGTGATTTAATATATAGTTGTCAAATACTGATTGACATTATTGTAAATATATTATAAAAGGAGACAATAGAATTATTCTGCTGCAAACATATATATTATTTATTAGTAAACATATCATCTCAACAAAAAAGAACCCCACCACAACAACAATGGAAGTGTTTTATATGACATTTAATCTTTTTTCAGGCAGATTTATATACAATAATAATAATACTTATCTTAATAAACGCGAAAGTTTTTAAATATGGATGGATGTTTGTT